TCTTTAATATATATACAATATATATAATACGAATAAGTACGATTCAAGATAAAAGACTTTGCATTGTGTGAATACTTTTGGCTTACACTGTCCATTCGCTGCTAGAGCTCCGTGGCTGCTTTACGTCGTGCAGTCAGCTGCCCCATGTTGTTGCATTATTGAAGCGTACAGTCGGGACAGACATTAAGTAGTCTTAAATGTCAACAAGCAAAAGTGCAAGCAATGAACTCTGATCCCTGCCTCGGTGCATGGCCATAACGTTTTTAATAATGCTTCATTATTAGCCATTAGGTTGAGGCAAACTGCAAGTCAAGCTTAATATCTTGAGCAATTTATGGCAGGGATTAGGTTGGAGCACTGTGGGGGTGGCAGCCACCTCCCTCCAGCCATTGGCCTTACTTGGCTGCAGTGCGCACATAAAACTTCTCCAACAACTTACTTTGGCCAGTTTCCGAATTTACAACTTATACTTGGCTCAGCGACGCAATGCGTTAAAATTGTAACATTAAATTGACATCTTAAAGTTTGACATGAAATGCAAAATAAACCTGAAACTTTTGGAAAACATCTACCACATTTTAGTTATTTTCTCCTGCTGACCTTGTGCAATAAATTTGGTTTTAGAGTTCTTTATAAACAATTTGTTTGGCAGAGCAGTCGAGTCGCATATGCAGATGCAAGAAAGCAGCTGCCAAGTTGCACATGGCTTAACCTGAACTTGAGTTAGTTCTCCAGCAATTACTCATATTTATTTGGATATTTGAAAGTATTTTGCCAACGAAGCAGCAGTTGCAGCTATTGAGGTCTGCAGCTGCCAGCTGCTTGGGCTAAAAGCGCAAATAAATAGACTACTTTAAGCCGCACAAGCATGTAGATTATCAGCATAAAGGAGACGTTGTAACAGCTCCTTTGGTCGCAGCCAGTTATCACAAAATGTTTTCGTCGTACAATGGCAATAAATACTAAGCGCAGTTGCTCTTATTAGCCAACCAAATGGCAGCTCGGCCTGGCTAGAGCCGCAGTGCTATCAGATGTCGCATAATGCACACTTTGCTCCAGACATACACTTAGACCCACACACACGCACACACACACTCACGCGCACACATTCACGCGCAGGTAACTGCCATAAACACCTCAAGCCATAAAAATGCAATTTAGTATTTGCTGTTTTGCCAACTACTACAATGGGCGGGCGAGCAACAACAACTAACAACTGGGATCACTGAACTAAGGAAACAAACTAGATCCGAACCCACGTCTAACTGCTTGCTCCCCAAGGGGGCGTGGCCCAGCCCGACACTAGTAAGCAACTTCCGAACACCGTTCGGCAGCGAGCCGTAGTGGCTGGCTTATATACGTATTTCTTTGCACAGGTGCCGTGTCCGGCTGGGCGTCTTCCTGTGCCGAGTTCCGTTGTTTGTTTGCAGAGGTAAAAAGAAAACCCAAACAACAACAGCACAACAACAGCAACAACAACAATAATAAACGGCAGCAAATGGCAGGCAAACAATGTCACGCCAAGGCGGAAACGACAGCGCGTTACGTAACGCAAGAGCTCAACGTTACGTTACGCATAACCGAATGCGAGCGAGCGAATGGTCGACCCTCGCCTCAGCGAGTCTGTGGCCTTTGTTAATAATTACCGCAGCCGCTACTGTACGGCATATTACTAATGGCATTGGGCGTATCGTCGCTGATACTCAAAATAGAGACAATACAATACGGGGCGTATGATTAATGAGTGGCCCAGCTAGGTAGTATGTGGGCGGATTATATACTCATTCACGGGAATGATTCGAGTATTTTTGGTTATTCACAATGTACATTTAGCTGAAGTTTTCGTTAAGGGGACAATCTTGCAAATAGAGACTTTAAATTTGGAATTTATTTATTTCACTCTTTTTAATATTAAAATACAATATTACAATTTATTTATTGTGGGTGGCTTCTCACACACTTGCCTAATTTATTTTATTTTATTCATATTTTTTCTTGAATATTTTTATGATTATATTTTATACATATTTTTTTGTGCCCTCTGTCAAGATTTGTCTGATTTGCCTACTAGGAACGTAGCAAATCGAAAAATATTTGCAGAAAATAATCTTTATGTATATTTTATATAAAAGATAAAAATATTTAAGGTCGTATGAATGAATTGCTCTTGGTCTGCATTAGCGATGACCTAAGAAGGAAATTAGCGCCTCTTTGGAGGCGTGCCTTTTTAATAAATACACAGTTACTACTCCGGCACACTCTCTCTCTCTCTCTATGCACTAAAAACAAGCCTAAAATAATATAGCCACACTCATTAGAAGGAGAAAAATCGTATCGTACTCTATCTATCTGTATATATATTGTTATTTAAAGAAATTTTGCTACATTTTTGCCACTTATGTTACTAAAAATATTTATAATAAAATATATACTTAGTAATGGCAAAAAAAAGTATTAATCGATTTTTGAATCATATTATCAATTTATTTAAGCTACGCGATTAATTTCAATAAATCGACGGATAATAAACTATCAATCATTAATCAAATTATAATTATTATTGCTCTTATTATTTTATTATATTGTATTGCAAGCAAATTGATTAAATCTCAAAAAATATATGCTATTATTTATTTATAAAGTCTATAAGACATAAGAAATAGTCAATAGATATAAGAATGGTCAATATTTTGTGCTTTTCCGAAGTAGTGGCTTCAGTCTTATGTTCTAGGAATGAACGCTTAATCGCAACCATTTACAACACAATTAAATCGCTAATGGAAGCAAATTAATCGATTATTGTGTATGATATAATTAATCGTGCCATCACTATATAATATACCTTCTTTAAAAAATAATCGATTGTTGTCTGTAATATTATGAATCGTGTCATCACTATAAAATATACTCATTTTTGGGTCCTCAGTAGGCTCTGACTGTACTTGTTTAGAATGGGTTTCGGCTTAGAATTTTTCAATCGTAGTTGGCTTAGCTCAGCTACTCTCTCCCCCTATAAATAGAGCTCCCACTTCCTAGTTCCCTCAGTTCACAGCATACAGTCATGCACAACAAATCAATCACACATTAAACACAAAAGTTTCTTTTATTTATTTTTTTTTTTTTTTTTCTTTTAAAATATTTTCAAATTATTTTTTTTTTGTTTTTTTGTTTTTTGTTTTTAAATGTTTGCCCTATAGTCTCGCTACAACTTCGCGATCTCTGTAACGTGCCTGATTCGCGATGTCCCGGTCTAGATTTCGTTCTTTCTGATCAAATATCCAAATTTGGCTATTCCATCTGCCAACCTCATTAAGCGAAATTCCTAACTCTAAAGTGCTATTCCCTTGCCCGTTCAACCATCCTGTCCTGAACTGACCTCTCCGGCTACCTGACCAGTCTAAACATCTACCAACCTGACGCATTTAAAAATCTAACAACCTGACGAATCTCTACACCGCGCTCTGTCTCTTAAAGCTCTACATAATTCTGATTCGACCGGAGCGAAATGTGCGCCAGAGCATGATGCCGCCGCGATATGGCAACATGCACCGCACAGCCGGCACTGGGCCATCCTCGATGATGGCTGCGGCAGTCGTGACGGCGGCCACCTGTGCGCAGGAGGAGAAGATACAGAAACATATCACGCCCACGGAGACAGGTGAGTAAGCTCTAAGGCTGACGCAGCCATTGCACACACACACACTTGCACGCATGCACACACACACATACAAACATCTCTTTGGCAATCTGTATTGCAGAGCACTCGATTAAGGCCAAGAAGCTGTGCGAAATGGCCACACAAACAATCGCCTTGTCTAGCATATTTGCATCCTTGGACTGCAATGCCTACAATCAAATACCGTATGCGGATCAATATGTGCCAACAAATACGGACACGCCCACTGCCAATGGCAATGACCATGGCAATGGGAATATCAATGGCATTAATGCAAGCGACGAGCAAGTCGTGGCCAACAACAACAAAATCAATCAGCAACAGCACGGCCAGCCGAATGCAATTGTTGCCAACACTGGTCCAGTGGCGACAGCAATTGCGACGGCAACAGCAACGGCAATAACAACAACTGCAGCAGCGACGGCAGCAGCAGAATCACCAGCAATACCAGCAGCAGCAATGACAGCAACAGCAACAATTGCTATGGGCGCCTCGGATGCGACAGCCACAATGGAAGCTGCGTCCAATGGCAGTAGACGAGCGCCCGTGCTGCAGACCAACTTATAGCTAAACGCACAGCAATTGCAACAGCAACTGCTAAAGGAGCAGCAGCGCCAACAGCAGCAGCAGCAACAGCCGCAGCAGCAGCCGGATCAGCCGCAACTGGCGACCAGTGAAAGCAGCGATGTTGCTAGCATTGGCAGCGGCAGCGGAAGTGCCACAACCACGATTGGAAACGCAAACAGCAAGAAACGTGCTGCGATCCCAGTATAGACACTTGAACGTGATGATACCGTTAGACGAGTACAAGCGTAACAGATTTTTGAAAAATAAGATCAACAAATTATGAATACAAATTGAAAAATAAGATCAACAAATTATGAATACAAAATGGAAAATAAGATCAAGAACAAATAAGCGAACACAAATGAAGCGAGATGTGGAAGGTATAAATACAAAAGAAACTAGATCTAAAAGGTCTGAATACAAATGAAACAACAAACGTGCAGAAGGTATAATAATATGAATGCAACTCGAGTATGTATGTGGAAGGTATACATATAATAATATTAATAATGATAATACTGATGTAATGCAAGATGCGCACATACTGTGCTCTCAAGACAGGGAAATTAATTGTTGCGTTAATATGTTCAATGAATGTTCACTAGTTAATTTTTTCGGGCGTTAAATGTAAAAAAAAATATAAAATATGAAGCGCTTATATTTTTGGTTCTATTTATTTGCTGTCAAAGCAATTGTGTTAGAAATATTTATTTACTTTTATTTTATAGCAGCTCTAAATAGAAAGAATTTAAAATAATGCATAATTTTAATATACATTTTTTACTTTAAAAAATATATACTGCTTTTAAAGCATGCATATATTACGTCACGGATGCACATCAAATATGGAAATATTTGGCTCAAGTCTAGGTTTTCTAGTTTTTTTTTTTTTTTTTTTTTTTTTTTTTTTTTTTTTTTGTCTAGTATTTAGCTATGCCCCTAAATTCTTGTTATAATTTTTCATATTATTTTAATTAACATATTTTATGATTTTAATAAACAAAAAATTACATGCAAAATAGAATTTATTTTAAGTTTATTTTTTTTATTTTTTAGAAAATACGTTAAAATAAAAATGTTTAGAGAATTTAAATTGAATTTTATAATATATCATCAAACCGATTTCCATTTTTTTTTCCTAGATTTTCCGATTCCAATTTTAACAATGTGATTTATTCTAAATAATTTTTCATTCTATGTTCAAATTACTTTATTATTTCATTATAATAATAATACAAAATAATATATATTATTCTAAGTCAACCTCCCTGCCTTCTCATTTTCGCCACTTGAAGCAAGTATTGTAAAAAATCTATAGTTCATAAACTAAAATAGGAACAAAAACAAAAAAGTAAAATTAATTTGCAACAAACTCTTACAATAAGCCCAACGAAATGGTCAAAATAATTGTCAGCCACATCTAATTGTATAATTGCGAAACGTTTTAAATGTTTTATCATTAAGCTTAACTAACTAGTTAATACAGATATTTATACATATGTCTATACATGTAAGGATCATGCGTGGTTTGGCTGCAGTCGCAGCAGCGTTTACCAAAAAACAAAAATTGTGATATAATTTCAAAAATGTGTGTGTTTTCTAAGCCCCAAAAGCAAAACTAATCTCATACTGCTAACGTTTAGGCTAAGCTGTGGTGTGGAGCTCTTTGCTTTGCTGTGATTATGTTGCGAGGGGGTTGCATGCATACGTACACACATGCGCAACCCCCTTGCAACGTGTGGCAGCAATGACTCGCGGCGGCGGCGGCATAACAATTGCATTTACTGTGCTGTTTCGAGCCCAGCAACATGGTAAATTTAATTGTTATTTGGATGAAAAGGCGTCAAGGGTCGGCGATTAATTATAAGTGAGTTGTATATATGTAAACGTAAATTATATATATATAAACATAC